AAAAAAAAAAAAAGAAAAGAAAGAAATTTAGAAATTTCTTCTGCCAGATACCGTAAATCATCTCTCTGAAGTTCAAGGTTCCACAAATCTCTAGGGTAGGGGCAAAATGCCACCAGTCTCTTTGCTAAAATGTAACAGGAGTCACCTTTGCTCCAGTTCCCAATAAGTTCTTCAGTCTGGATTTTATTGTCCATATTGCGATTAACATTTTGGGCAAAGCCATTTAACAAGTCTCTAGGAAGTTTCAAACATTCCCACATTTTCCTATCTTCTTCTGAGCCTTTCAAACTGTTCCAATCTCTGCCTGTTACCCAGTTCCAAAGTCACTTCCACATTTCCGGGTATCTTTTCAGCAACATCCTACTCCTGGTACCAATTTACTGTATTAGTTGGTTTTCACACTGCTGATAAAGACAGACCTGAGACTGGGAATAAAAAGAGGTTTAATTGGACTTAACAGTTCCACATGGCTGGGGAGGCCTCAGAATCATGGCAGGAGGTGAAAAGTACTTCTTATATGGTGGCAGCAAGAGAAAATGAGAAAGAAGCAAAAGCAGAAACCCCTGATAAACCCATGAGATCTCGTGAGACTTATTCACTATCACGAGAATAGCACGGGAAAGACTTGCTCCCATGATTCCATTACCTCCCCCTAGGTCCCTCCCACAACTCATGGGAATTCTGGGAGATACAATTCGAGTTGAGATTTGGGTGGGGACACAGCCAAACCATATCAAGTAGCACCAAGAGCTCTTCTGCAGTGCCAAAAAAGAGAATAAAGATATTTAAGGACAAGCAAAAGAAGAAACTTATGGCAACAACTAACAAATACAACAAGGATTATTAAGGTAAGGGACAGAGAAGGTAGCATAAAAGGAAAATGAACAGGGGAAGGAGGTCAACCAATAAATGAATGAGGCAATATGACAGGAAAAACAGGCATGAAAGTTTAAAAGATACTGGTTTAAACACATCAAACGTTAACTTGATAAGTGTGTGAATGCTAATGGCAAATTCTTAAACATTAAGGAAAAAGTTTGGGAAAGATGCCAAATAGCTCTGAATGCTGAAACTGAGATGATTCTTCCTTTTTTTTTTTTTTTTTTAAAGACAAACTTCAAAAAGCACTCTATTCTAGACTAGGAAAAATAAAAATAAAAAACATAAACCACAGTTTATTATTTCAACTATTTCTGTAGATGAAAATAAATAAGAAATAGATTTTGGATTCAAATTTTGTGAATAAAATCAGGTAGATTAAAATAATATTTAAGAAGATAGGTTCAATGTCTAAACCTAAAATTGCTCCTATTACATATTTGCTTTGAATCACCATGTTGGTCTTGGGACCAAAATTAACAACCAATAAATGAAGTGCTAAATATTCCCTTTGCGGAAAAGCATTAAAGCATTTGTTAAAGAATAGAAACAGAAGAAATTACAGGTAGAAAGCAGGAAGGAGAGGACCAAAGACACAGCCAGAATCAAGTTATTCGAGAGTAAAATGGGGCCGGGCGTGGTGGCTCAACACCTGCAAATCCCTGCACTTTGGGAGGCTGAGGTGCGAGGACTGCTTGAACCCAGGAGTTCGAGACCGGCCTGAGCAACACAGGGAGACTCCATCTCTACAAAAAATAAGAAATTAGCCAGGAGTGGTGATGCCTGCCTATAGTCCGAGCTGCTCAGGAGGCTGAGGTGAGAGGATCACTTGGGTCCAGGTGGTTACAGCTGCAGTGAGCCATGATCATACAACTGCACTTGAGCCTGGGTGACAGAGTGAGACCCTATCTACACAAACAACAAACAGTAAAATGGACAACAAGCACAGTCTTAAGTCAACCAAATCAAAATCAGTATTTGAAGCATTATACAAATGACAGTGAATGCCCAACATTAGCTAAAATTTGAGCTGAGAAGCTCAAAAAGCAGTAAGAACACAGAGAGTCATGTAGACCCCATAAGGTCATTACACTATGAACTTTTTTTGGTTGAGTGGAATATGTCGGGCTGGACACACTGGACTATTAACTCCATAGAATCATGTAAGTCAGATACTTTCTTTTTCTTTTTTGACCTAGATTAAAATATTCAAGTTAAGTTCTACTGAAAAAAACTGTCATTTAAAAATAAGTAAAATAAAAAGAATTTTGTACTAAATTCTTAAATTACATGCAAAGATCAATGATGAAACGAATACTTCATTTTCTAATTGTATTTCTACCACGTTTAGATGGCATTTTCTCTTCTCTATATGCATTTAATTGCAACATAATGACTTGAATAAACATATAAAGAAAATAATGCCTCCTTCACATAGTATTATACCATATGTATAACATTTTAAAGTGTTGTCATTTTCATTAGCACAAATTTTTAATAGGCTAAATGTGCCATATTAATACGAGATAAATATGGAATCTTAATAGTGATTCAACTCAGATTATTGTAGAGATAAGAGATGCAAGACAAGAAACAGATAATAATACATAAACACATAGGAATAAATAGATAACGAAGAAGGAAAACATCAAGTAAACAACATGAGAGGAAGGGTCAAATGAACAAAAAGCTTAAACTTGCTCAGTCTAGCTTCATGCTAGAAAGGGAATTCAAAGCAGTAGGCAAACATAGCCTTATGAACAAAGTTACAGAAGTATGAGAAAGCACAGATTGTTTAGGAAGTTTCTGGGTAATTTGGTATGAATAACTTGATCCATAGATAGAAAAGAGGCAGAGACAAAGTGGGAAAGGTAGATAGAGGTCAGATTTATGCCACTCTAAAAACAGTGGGGACTGACTGAAGGATTTTAAGCAAGAGGGAACCCACGTTAGGCAGGGTGGAACATGTAATCTTAGAGAATTGGTTAAGAAGTTGTTACAGGAATGTGAGAGAGTAATAAATATGAACTATGGCTGTGAAGGCTGGGATTGACAGCAGGGGAAAAGGTGAAAGAATATTAAGAAGGCAGAATGCATAGGACTTAATGACTGACTGGCTATGTGGAATCAGCAAGAAGATGGAATAGAAATCTGTGAATATTTTAGAAGAAGAGTTTAGTTTAAGCAGGCATCACTTTTTGAAGACCACCATTGGGATTTCTCAGATTCTACACTGACATGAGCTAAATAATTTTTGGACAGAGTCACGTAACATGTTTCAGGGAGGTTACCATCTTAAGAAAACCTACACTTTTGAAGAAGACTTCTAGATCATATTTTTAAGGCATTAACTGAAAGAATAAATTCACTTCTGTTTTACTATTGAGAAGATGTAAGAAAGGCCTGTTCTGTATAAAATATAGACAATTCCTAACTTACCAATCACTAGACCCACAATCAGTTCACGAATATAGGGAGAATTGTGGCTAATGCTCTAACCTGCGTGCTAGGGCTTTCATCCTAACTATTCCACGAATTCTACAGTCTTGTCCCTGTTAAAATTCAAAAGGTACTAAGTGGATTTGGGGGTTGAGCTGTTTGTAATACATCAAATACAATATGGGTTAAATAATTTGCTTATTTGTTTTATGGAGGGCGTAAGAAAAATAATCACCAATTACTCTGAAGCAATGCAAGTAAGAATGTTAACAAACTTTAGAAACACAACTCACTTGCAATCCAGTGTTGTCCATATAGTTAATGCTTAGTTATTATAGTAAAATCACAGAATTTCAAACTTTGTGGAACTAATATACCTCTCTTGACCTTCAGCTCCTATAAAGTATCAAAAGGAGGGGAAGGAGCAAATGTATCTATAGTAGCAGCTAAATAAATTCCAAAGCAGTACATGTCTTCAATTATGTACATTATCAGTTAATAAGCATTTTAGTAGCTTTACTCTTTTGTACTAAATTCTTAAATTACATGCAAAGATCAATGATACAATGAATATTTCATTTTCTAATTGTATTTCTACCGTGTTTAGATGGCATTTTCTCTTCTCTATATGCATTTAATTGCAACATAATGACTTGAATCGACATATAAATAAAAATTTTTAGAGCCACTTAGGGTGGAAACATTAAATAATTACAAACCTTATAGGTGTTTAGACTCCATTTTCTAACAAGTTCTAACTTTTCCATTGCAGGATTTTTAATTTCATCTGCTAGAATAACTGGTCCACTTTTTGTCTGTGTTCTCTGGCCACCTGCAAGGTAACAAAAGATAAAAACACAATCCAGATGAAGACAAGCAGGGAAAGAAAACAAAACCCTGACATTGTTCAAATTAAAATACTTATGCATCTAAAAAAAAAGAAAAAAGGTTCCCACAAAGTAAAGAACTAGAACTTCCTGGAATCGCTGAGGATAGTTTCCTAATTACTTAAACAACACTTCTGTCCATTAAACACAAATGCCATGTGACTTATCTGTCTTCTTTAAACAAACAAACAAAAAACAAACCTGCTGCAATCAGCCTTATTTTCTATATAAGCTGTGGTTTACTTTAAGAAAAACAAAATTTCCACAACTAATCTTATACACTAATGACACTAAAAAAGAAGTATCTTGGTCAATAAAAATCTAAATGGCTACACGTATTCCCCACAGTGATCTTTCATTGTAATGTGCAGACTACAACAACAATAGAATGTTGCTATAATTTTGGAGAATTTGAAAAAAATAATTCAAATTTCATATAGTTGTTCAATTCAAATAGTCATTAAAGATATGTTATCACTAGTATGAAAGGCTGGGTTGAAACCAGATCTACATTGTACCTCTTTTTTCTCAAAAGATCACACAAAAAAGGCAAGAAAACCAAAAACAGCCATAATGAATAAAGAAGCAGTGTAAATTCCTGACAATGTACTCTTCCAACAATTAAGAATTTTTGATATGAAAGCAACTCTACAACTATACACTTCTTAATAGTAAAATACTTTTCATAGTCAAAATATTTTTCATTTCAGTTTCGGGATGGAAAGTTTCTAATAATTTAAAAAGAATAATGAAATAAAGAGAAAACTTAGGATCGGCAAAAATTTCTTCTCTTACCTATTCCTATAACCAGACCAATCTTTCCCATAGCTTTACCAGTCCAAGAACAAGAATGGTATATAAAATAGAACACATTTAAGAATTTACAAAATTCTCACAAAACAAAATATAAATGTTAACATTTCATATAAGAAGAAACGTGGAGTTCATTTTCTCTCCCATTTTTATAGTCCAGTAACAGTAAAGTGCAGAGCAAATTGAATGTGAAGATACTGATTTTCCCAAGTATTTTTCATTGGGTATAATTGGTAAATTAATAGTATTGTGTTGCAATCTGCAAACTATTTGTAAGTTAAAGCTAAAAGTAAGAAGACAAGACCTTTTTCACTTAACCCATTCTTAAAAACAACCAACCTAATTGTTGAAGGTTGTTTTTCCTTTAACTGAAAATAGAAGGCAGAGCTGCAAAGATGAGAGTTTATGATCAAATGGTAAACCTACATATTCCAGAGCAAAGAAAGAATGTTTTAAAGCAAATCAAATTTTATAATGTTTTAATTTTAAAACGGATTAAGTTTCAGCTATGAGATACAGCCTAATTATTCTGAAAAGCCAGAAAGATAGGATACAGTTAGAAAAATTATTTCCTTTATTGTTAATAAGACAGCCACCAAAAAAGTCAGAATAACACACACCTAAGAATATAAAGCAAGTGATTATGAAACTGAGTAAATTAGTGTAGCTTCAGCAGTAGCAAGAAGGGCTTTATCCAATCAGTGCAGTGAATACCTGCAGGAACAATTAAATCACTTCCTTGTTGAGCCAGTCGACTAGCTGCAACCCTGCTAGGAGACATAACAGATGGCAGTGGCGGTGCTGGGGAACCTGAAAAGGTAGACATTTTAACTGTGAAAATCCTTTTCCTCCTCCACATACTGTACATTTTGAATATAGGGTTACTGATATTTCCTTTAAAATATTCAAACACTAGGATTAAAAATTGGAATTAATATATTTATTTTCTTTCAGGGAAGGACTAATAATAAATGTATGCTACCAGGCTCACTTTTTATATAAACTTTTCATCAAACTATCAAAACGAAACAAAATATGTAACTATATGATGAAATCTGGTAAGATGACATCTAACCAGGATTTTAACTGGACTCTACTATTTCCAAAATCAGTTAACAGAATGTGAATACAGTCCCATAGTTGCATGATAAAGCTTCGGTAAATATTTCATAACTTGCTACTCTCATATATGAAGGAAAAGCTCTTCAAGTAAAAATTCAAAGGCATGTAAGGGATATTAAAACATGCTTTCATATCTCTTACAAGAAATGTGAATGAATTATAGCCTTCACAGGAATTGCAGCCAAAAATTTCAAATCATAAACCAAATGTCACATAGTGTGTCTCATTGCTATTCATAATGTGGACGTAGGCGACCTTCTGCAATTCGCCTGGATGCTTGTTAGAAATGCAAAATCTCAGTCCCTGCCCCAGTCCTACTAAACCCAAGCCTGCATTTTCATAAGATTTCCCCAGGTGATTTGTATGTACTTTGAAATGTGAGAAGTGCTGATATAGAGTATTTTTTGACATTATAAGAATCACTTTTGGAGCTTTTCAAACGTACCTGGGATACTCAACAAGATCTACTGATTTTCACTGAAACAGGCATCTTTTGCAAAAGCCACTCAAGATGATTCTCAAACACAATTAAGTTTGAGAACCAGAGGAAACAACACCATTTTTGAATGAAACACAACTAAGTTTTAAATTCTAACACTGAGTTTAAAATTCTGGCTCTATCTACCACATGATATCAGGAACACCCTGGCAAATTACTAAACACCTCTGAGCCTTAATTATCTACAAAGTAAGAAATATTGACTACTGGCTGAGAGCTGTGTCTCATGCTTGTAATCCCAGCACTTTGGGAGGCAGAGGCAGGTGGATTGCTTGAGCTCAGGAGTTGAAGACCAGCCTGGGCAACATGGCAAAACACCACCTTGCTGGGCATGGTGGCACAAGCCTGTAGTCCCAGCTACTCAGAGGTTGAGATAGAAGGACTGCTTGAGCCCAGGAGGAGGAGGCTGCAGTCAGCCGAGATTGCACCATTGCACTCCAACCTAAGTGACAGAGCCAGACCCTGTCTCAACTAAAAAAAAAAAAAGAAAAAAAGAAAGAAACACTGATTACCCAACATTGTTGCTAATGTCTAGCATTAAACAAACAAAAAAAAGGAGTAATAAATTTTTAAAACTGAAAAATTATTAAAGTCCTTCCATGTTTAGCTGAGAATATTTTAATGTCTATAATGTACTTTTATTTCAACTACACTCTTCCCCAGTTCTCTGGAAAAAATATAATGCATTACGTTCATAATTAAATTTCCTAATAAGAAAGACACGTCTACTTTCTTTACTTACTATTAGTACTAATTGGTCATATCCCAGTTGCACTAAATTCTGATACAGAAACAGTCACGAGTTCTAATAGTATAAAATAAACCTTAACTTGAACTGGATCTCACATTAAAATTCAAACACGCAATAGACCTAAACTAAATAGATTGTTGTTAACTTTCAAAGTGAGAGATAAATTTGTCTCTTTAAATTTGTTAAATTATAAAATTTAAAACCAGAAGGGATAATGGAAATCAACTAAACTCTCACATTAAACGGTAAGATTAATGAAGCTCAGAAAGGTTCAAATAGTTTCTTATTAGAGACTCAGATGTTCTGAACACCATAATATCTCCATTATTAAATTCAATACAGAAATCATTAATCTATAAGTTACTTGCTGAGTTGGAAGGCATTTTAATAGGTTATCCAGTCCGATCACCATTTTAAACAAAGACTGTATCTCTATTGTCAAAGGCATAAAGGATTCTAAATAAGAAAGTGTAAAATAAAAGAAGACTACCGTACTTCCATGTCTTGACCCCAGGAATAGGAGCTCTATTGTTCTAGTTATTACAGTTTATTAATCTTGCATAAGAAATAAACCATGGCACTACATGAGATGTGTATAACATATATAACAAATGAAATGTAACTCTCCAAAGTAAAATAGCAAATAATGTAGTGTGGCTGTAACTGGGACTTCAGCTTTTTTGATTTACCTTCAAAGGTAATTATTGCTTCTCTGTATCTTTAATACTTTAAGCTTTTAAACAACTGTTACCAAAATCATTCACCAATACCAACTAAAAAATAAATAATAATATAGGATCTCTCAATAATACAGGATCTTACTAACTGGCTAAATTTGGGGAATTAAATCTATTTCATCTCAACAACAAAAATCTAGAAGATGAATACATATGTACAAAGATTTACACCCCCATTAAAACAAAACCCTGGTACAAAGTACACTTAACTCTTACGAGCTTTGATTTATTCATGATTTCCACTATTACTGATTCTGTAACATCTTTGGTGCTAGGCAGATTTCAATATTTGTTGTTTTTAAGTTGAAGTATAACTTTTAAATCTGCACTAGATAGATGAAAAAGTAGATGGTTAATACTCTCCTTGTTAACTGTTTAAGCAAATAGTCATAATTTATCATTTAGTCATCTTTCCAGAGAGCTAACACAGTCCTAATTCCTTTAAGATTTTTTCGTAAGACCTGTTTTCCAAATGGTAATCATTGTATGTTATTCTTTCTCATGTTCATTCCAATTTATCTACATATATCTTAAAATAATCACAACTTTCCAACAAATGCTTAACTAATTTAAGTATAGCAGCAGAATGATTATTTTCCTAATACACTGATCAACAATACAGTTTGGATTTTTAAATGTTTTATACACTCAGTTCAGAGAGACATATATTACTGCCATTATCATGAAATATATTTTCTTATTCCAATTGGAAGAATTAGGACGTATCTATAAGCAAGTGAAACTGATGGGCATTTTAATGCTCATGTATACCAGTTCATAATGGCCAACTGATTTCAATTATTATATAATACCATTATACAATAACATTAAGGGTAAAAATGGCAGCTAAATAATTTCATTAAAAATATTTAGGCCAGGCGTGGTGGCTCACGCCTGTAATCCCAGCACTCTGGGAGGCTGAGGCGGGCGGATCATGAGGTCAGGAAAT